CGATGCTAGATCTACGTCATGAGGCCCATTCACGGGCAGGAACGCCATATCCATTGGTACCGCATCGCACCTGAGCTGAACACGACCCTACAGAAACACAAATCCACACACCACGAAACATGTGCCTTGCCTATCCGTACTATCGAATTAGAACGTGAACAACCGTCTCTGCCTTCTTTGTACATGTTTGAGATTTTTCATGGCGCTGGTAACAGAGCAGACATTTACCTCTACAGTCAAGTCAGGAACGCATTGCAAACATGCTTCGGCTCGCCCGTTGGTACCTCGTTACGACTGGAAAGAGAGTTCAACCTTTATCGTCTGGACGAGTCTAGCTGGGCACTCAAGCACTGTATCTACCACATTTCGCCCCAGGGCAGGGTGACGCCGGTAGTGGGCCTCTTGGCCAAACCGCGCCGTGTCTTTCACGTTGCATCTTGAATTACTTTGTACAGTACTGTATTGTCTGCTTGTCTTCGGTCACGCTCATCCATATCGAACAAGCATTTGGGAAGAAGATGCTGATAACAGCATTTGGATGTGTACAATAGCAAGAGACGACTTCTCCCGCTATTTAGCTTCTTTCTTTACAATCCGCTGTCTCTCTTATTGAAGACCCCAGACAATGAGGAACCCCCACATTTACTGGGCGTACCGTACAACCTTCGAATCATCCCGGGCCTGCGGCCGTCGAGGTTCCAGAGCTTCTCTGCACCATTTCAGCACGGCCATCAATGGCCAGTGGGCAGTCTTCTAGACCTTGATGACTGTTGGGCTTCGCTGATGAGAGGCCAGTGTTTTCGCGCTCTCCGACATTATTCGTCACAGCATTACCCTACAGCCAGACGACAAAATGCACTAGCTGTGTTTTAAGAACAATTGATGCAACACCAAGTCAGACTTGTGATTACTCGGGGTGATTTCGATTGTCAGTGAAAATAGCCCTCGATTGCAGAGGTCCCATGGATGACTTTACGTCGTTACGAGTGGAGAGATACATGAAGCTTGGTCGATGTGATATTCACTCATGCGCATGCACGTACATTCGACCACTGCCTTGCGGCACATGTCCACGTCCCACCCGGTGATGGATCCCTACATCCGACTAACAGATGTTAACCCCAGGTCCCTTCAACGTTGGTCGCTGAGCCCCAGGCTGATTAATGGACTGGGGCTCCAGATGGGTCTCAAAACATACTGAAAATATTGTTGCTTCACCTTTCAAAGAGTTTACCATGAGACGTTCAATACATAGCATTGTCGGCTCCAACATATGGCTCATAGCCGAAGTCAACAAGACAGCCAAAAGCAGAATCAGGGACAGCCAGTGGGGGATGTTGCTGGTAATTCTTCGCGCCACGGCCAGATGATGGGGGCCCATTAGTTCACTGTTCCTCATTGGCTGCCCTGACTCTCATCTTCAATTTGTTGGCGCTCAGTCGTCCCTGGAGTCGGTGCTTCTCCCGTGCACTTAACGATTTGTCTGCCCGGACATTTGAATCGCAAGAACTATCGTTTACAGCTGTCATGCCGTGCTATTCATAGTTTCACTATGCCGAGCCGATACGCTACGTGCTTGAAAGTTAACGGCATCCTTCAAGTAAATCCGAAATTGGCACTACAAGAGGTCTTCGTCCACTCCTGAGTTTGTACAGTATTTACAGTACAACAACTCACAAGCCCTTTTGAGCTCGGCGTTTCCTGTTTAGCTTCAGGTTGGCTTAACAGTCTCAGCAGTGGCCCCTTCTACGCAATCCAAGACGATTGACAAGTCAATACGTGCCCCACTCCAGAATCGTCACCAAACGTGACGTCTAGGAGTTTCCTTCGACCGGGTCAGATCCCGTCATTTCATGAGGAGTACATACACAAATGCTTGTATCGTAACAATAACCTCACTTGTCCTGCTTGTCCTTGCGGAACACAGCGATCAGTAAAAGAAGATTCTGGACATTTCCCATCCTCCTTTCAATTGTCCCAGCATGCGGTCCTGTCATTTGCCTGGTCTCATTCCTTTAACCGGCGCGAACGCGTCGGCTTAGCATCTAGCCCAGGTTAGCCCTGTCGATCGGTGGCGATAATTCTGACTACTTGTCTGGTCTCCTGCGAATGACAGAAGAATTGAGCCCTCGGCTACTGCTTCGTGATAATGTCGGTTCCGATATCATCACAATCACATCGTCTCTTATATCGTTCTGTAATCTCTCAAATTTGGTGTCGTTTTTAATGCTGTGTAGGTGGTTCTCGCGTGCGTTTCGATTGGAAGCTGCTGCTGTTACTCGCTACCCAGGTAGTCGTACATATGAGAATAACTTTATCGAGACCAGTTTCCGATCGATGTTGAGTTTCGTAAAGAACTCCTCAGTCAAATACTTTAACTGGCATGCTTGTTGTGGCTTATTGGTCCCTCGAGAGCTGGTCTGATCACCAACATTCTGAAGGTCTAAGGATCGACGGCGAGCACAATATCTAAAGCTGCGAAACGCGTTTTAAGTCCATTTTTATACTGCTGATAATACCAGAACGTCTAGCTCTATGGATTAATCGAGCCAACTATGGTTGAAAACCGCCCTTCTCCTCTACGCTCTGGTATACCATTCAGCTCTGATACGCTACGCTCTCGGGTTACAGAGAGCTTTTGCCTATCCCGTAAACGCCGTCTTTGGGGATGTTCCGTTATCTTTCGATACTTTCAAAACCAACGAGGGAGTGCCTTTTACTCCCGTTCCTCTTTCTGAGGGTTCGAGGATTTCATTGGCTTGTTTGCCAAAAAGAATCCGGCCTGAATAGTGGGCAAAGCCATAGGCTTCCCATTATTGTCAGACCAATATATACTGTCGCTTTCGCGATTGCCAAGCCAAGCCTGGCTTAGATGTCTGAGGACGCATATTCTTTACAGGCCTCGGTTGAAAACAATCTTTCCATCCTTACCTCCCTTTCCATGGAACTCAGGCTCGAGTGACTCAGCATTGACCTCCTGGTACTGGGGGAAAACAGCCAAAGCGAAAGGAAGAACAGCGAAGGAGGTGACGGCGATCAGAGTCAAGTTAATACCGAGAGGAATACCCTTGACCAGTGCTGGTCGTGCGCGCACCCACTCCTTCTCCATAAGGTTCTTGTACCAAGCCTGCTTGCTCTCGATATAGTAGAGGGCCATTGGGGGGAGAACCATGATGGGAGATGCAGTGAAGACTCGACTAGCAGCGGTTTGGTATACAGCACGCTTAGCAGCAACTTGGGACTTGCCCAGCGAGGGAATGTCTCGCTCCGACTTGCCCTCAGCGACGAGCTTCTGCTTATCCTCCTCGGAAAGAACAGGTCGAACATCGATACCCTTGACAATCTCGTCGCGGCGCATGAGGTAAGTGTTGAGACCGGCAGCTGTAGCGACAGCAGCGAAGGGAATGAGTCTACCGAGAATGTTGCGGGTGGAAGGGGTTACGTTGAGTCGAGGAACAATGGCATTAAGACCGAGAGCAACGGAGCAAGAGGCTCCGACAGCTGAGAGGTAAGACTTGACCAGGACAGAGTTCGACATGGGAGAAGACTTGTTGCTGTTGGCGGTGTTGAATGCGACGTTGAGAGACTGGTTGAAGACCTGCCAGCCTACAATACCGGCCGTTCCCATGCCGGGCTGGAGCATACCAGCGGTAACGACAAGATTGGTGAAGACATAGCAGGACATTCGGAAGGGGAAGAAGACGGGTTCGCCGGTGTCTGGTGTACGGTGTCTCGTCAGCTGGTGTTACAATCGCACATGTCTAACGGGGTCATATATACCGGGGTGCAATGTCGAGTCGACAACCTTCTTCGCATGCCACAATGCTGGCGACATGTGCTCGATCTTGCCGGTCTTGTAATCGGTCACCAACGCCTTGGCCGTCTCGAGTCCGGTCTTGCCCGCAAAGAGGGTTCTGAAGATTGCGCCAGCATTGTCAGCTTTATGATACTTCGGGCACTGGAACCGAAGCTCAGCAATTGGACTTACGAGGGATCTGTGATGCCCATAGTATGGCGCACTCGTCCCATATACGTTCCAAGGTCATATTGAGAAGCGGGGAGCTCCCGCGCGCCAGGGAGCGAAGCCGACATGTTCTGCGTATCTTATCGTATAGATCTCAACGGAGTCTTTATCGGGGTCGAGATGTCGGAGGGGAGATGCTCGCGAGCAAGAGGACGACCGGACGTGAGACGGAGATGGGAGACGAGGACCAGGAAGATAAAGAAGAAGCGAGCTGCCCTGCCCTGGAGTAAATTAAACAAAGGTCACTAATTGACCGCTAGAGGGGGCTCTTGTGGACTAGAAATGCCCGAATGACCAGTACGTGGGACAGAAAAAAATCCGTGGAGGGGAGGTTCTGAATAAACGCGACGATAAGCTAACGTAGCCGCACAAGAGGCCCGCTTTCGGAGTCGGCAGCTGGATCACTTTACGTACATGCAGACCCCCCGGCCCGGCTTACGGACGCGGATCGTGGGGTTCAAGTAGAAGCATACTCGGGAGTGAATCCGAGAGTACAGCCAGTCATTGCATCTTTGATATAAGCATTTGGTTCATATCTTAAAAGACACTCATGATGAGACGGCATCAGAATAAACTACCAAACAACACAATTAAGCTTAGGGCTCATTATACCGGGCCGGTCCCTGTTCCTGAGCAGAATGATATCAGAGGCCGAAGATATCCAAGCGCTAAATGCAACATCCATCGTTGGTGTCAAAAGAATTGGTTGCCAAGATCATAAGAGACGAAATAATTCCGTCACTTTATGGTTGGTTAGACCAGTACTTAGACTACTTTTATTTAGTACCCTAAGCTTTAGAGGATACCTTTCTGGTACCCACCTGCCATCATAGGTAGGTAACATATCCAAGAGCCGCGATTGGCGGCAGTTCACGCACCAAGAGTTCATCAGTTGAACAGAATAGATCAACAGATGGAGCAAAAAGTGTATCTACAATGCCTTGAAATAGCAAAAAGATATGTTCCAACGGATATTCGACCACGCCAGGAGTCGAACCTGGAATCTCTAGAGGGTTGGTTGTTGGAGAACCGAAATCTAGCGCCTTAGCCATTAGGCCACGCGGCCGGAATCTTTGTTTGATGAAGTTTCGAGGTGGTGTTGAAATCTAAGTCCGTCTGACCAACGGCTGAGACGTTCAGTTTGGGCTCTGACTTCTTGTTTTTACGATTATTTGAATAGTCAATTATGTCTCGAGTATCTGAAGTAGACCTACCAAGTATGGTTATAACTACGAGTGTCATGTTATGTTGCTCTTGTAGTTGTGGTGAATCAGGAGCCGTCCTCCAGCAGTCTCAACAAACTAACTTGTGTATTCTGTTGTATTCATAACTTGCTGGGTAATTCTATGATCGCTCTTCTTATTACGAATTCTTCTTTTACCAGAAGATTCGGACATGCTGAGAAGTTAAAGCCTCGAATATAGACTACTTTGTGGCTTCAAACTCCAGACAGACATTTGTTGGGAATGATGAGTTTCATCGAATACGACGAACCTTCTCACGTTCAATTATGATAGTACAGCAGTGATAGTGGGGTACTCAATACATATTCTGAACAAAGATCTTCACCTTTACCAGGGAGAGTTGTAGTCATACATCGGTTACTCTTACAAGTCTACCATTCTATGCAGCTTCCTTCACTTCTTTAACCTCTTGAGCCTCTTTAACCTGTTTCACGTCTTTAACTTTGACCTCTTTATCGTCTGAAGACGCCAGTAGCAATGCAATAGCAGGCTGGAAAGCAGCCGCCTTCTTGAAATCGCCCAGTTTGACAGTCATGTGGTCAAACGCCATCAGAACATTAGGAACCTTTCGCCCCTCTCCCTCCCTCAACGACTCAGACTTGACATATCGTTGCGAGAAATGCGTCAGCAGCGTGTTCTTGGCCTCCATCTTGTGCGCAACGTCCAGAGCCTCACCGATAGTGGAATGACTCTTTTTCTTAGCGTGAGATTGCATATCGTCATCAAAGGTACACTCGTGGACGAGGAGATGCACGCCCTTACATATACGGGCAAAATTGTCAGAAGGACGACAGTCTCCTGAGTATGCAATGCGTAAGCCAGATGTAAGCTCAAGCTCTGTGGCAACGGAAAGCCAGCAGTGCGAAACAGGAACACGTGTAATGGCCTTGAGGCCGAAGCCGTCGTCTTTGATTTCACAACGGCCAAAGTTCTTGTTGTCTGGTACTCCATTTTTATGATGGGGGAAATGTAACCGGTGGAAGCCAAAATCATCGACCTGAGAGATCTCCCCCAGGAGATCCCTGTATCTCGAGACACAAGAAATAGCCAACTTGGCGTTGCTGTCGTTGATAGTATGTTGATACCAAGCTTTAATCAGAGTGGGGGTGCCCAGGTGGTGATCGGCGTGAAGATGGCTAATCACGATGCACTTTAAATCTCGTAGAATGTTTCCTGTTTCTTCCTCTCCGTAGAGACGTAGAATCTGACCCAAAGTGCCCTCACCAACATCGAGAATGTAGTTACCAATGCCAGGAACACGAATCAGCGTCGCTGAGACATTACGGTACTTGCCTGGCATTGAAGAGCCGGTACCAAGAGGGATGACCTCGGCGTCTGGGTTGGGAATATCCTTTGCTTCTTCTTCTGCCTTCCTGAGGAACTCGGGATCAGAGGTCTCTGCATGGGCCGTCTGCGCCAGCTCCAGAATCTCTCTACCGACGGAATTGGCTGTTTCCAGAAGGTTTGGGAAGGGTACAACTACCCCATCATCGAATTTAAGACGAGGCATAAGGCTGATCTTGTTTCCAGCACGGCCAGATTCGACTTGCGATCCAGAAGGCAATTTCCCCTGTACGTTGTTGTTGAACTTGAGTAGACTGAACCTGGCTGAATCTACCATACGTAGCTTGGTCTGCAACTCAGCCGGCCCAGCAAGTGAAATCATGTTGGGACATGTGTCTTTGGCGCAGAAAAAGTGCTTCATCCCGGAGTGTTGATCGACGAATTTTTGGATTCTGGCATCATCCGACAGCCCAGGACCCAGGATCCAGTATACAGCTACCACATCGGACATCAACTCGGGGTTCGTCCATTCCGGTCTCTCCATGAAAGCGTCGATGAGATCGCGCGAGTCAATGTCAGCAACGATAAACCCCTGACCTGGCCAATCCTCGCCAATGATCATCTCAGGGGTGACGGTGACACCGTTCGCTGTTTGTATAGAGGAACCCGCAATCAGCGTTTTGTATTGGGTCACAGGTACCCCAAGCTTCTTGGCTTTTGCTGCGTCGAATTTGCCTCGGCGAGGAAGACATTTGACCAGGTAGGACATGGAACTTTGACTGTATCTCGTGGGAGGCAGTGATGACATTGTTAGGTTGGGAAGTGAAGATCTGTCTTCCACCCACTGGGTGGGAAACTTCCATACTTTCTCATTTTCTTGCTCAGGGGTAAGTTCTGAGTTGCCGGGTCTGGGGCCACTGTACATTTGAAAGCCGGTTCTTCCACGTTTTTGAAAAACTGTATCGTCTGGAGAGACATCTCCTAACTTCACAGGAACGATTAGGCCAGTTCCACGCAACGTGCCATTGAACATGATATCTTCAACCATGGCGCGGGCGTATTCAGGATCTGAGAGAGTTGATGCCTCCTTAAACCGTGACTCGGAGGAGTCGGAAATATCCCCAACGATAGGGCTGGAGCGACGACGCTTCTTGGGGCTGCTGGAGCGCTCTCGTTGAACTGGGATCTTCCACACACGAAGTGTATCATCTTTCCAGTCAGGCTCCAGACTTTCGATAGTTTGTAGCCGGGGGTCCTCTCTGTGTTCGTGCGTCTTGACGTAAACGGGCTGCCGTGTAATGACGGGACGGCAGGCAGCCAGAGTGTGATTTAAGTTCTCGCCAGCATGAATATGAATGATTCCAGTTCGAGATTCCTTGATAGGTTTACCCCTTGCCTTCCTCTTTTCGTTCTCGATCGCTTCCACTTGTGCGCTCGCATCTACCACGCCGCCGACTGTGAGAATATAACCAAAGAGACCTCCAACCTGCTGCCACGAGACAGCGCCACTGAGGAAGATTTGTTCCGTTCCTCCCATTCGAGTCCTGCTGCTCTGGAAGGCTCTCTGAGTACCTTCTTCGGGGCGCCCGAAGATATATGTGCGCTTATCAGAGTGGACAAGAAGGCAAGTGCCTGGAGTGTCGACTGTCGGGGCCGACGCAATTTCTATCGAGGTCGACATTGCTTGTGTGTAGCCGTCGTTGATGGGTATTAGAGGTGTAGCGGAAACACCTCGTGGGAATAAGGACCTCTTTGGTGGCTCTAGTGAAAATAAGCGACTGTCAAAGGAATAACACCGTCTATTAACAAAAGATCCAGGTGAGGTTGAAGGTGAAGTTGAAGATGAGGGGGAGGGGCAGCGAGAGTGAAAAGATGGTGATGATAGCCGACTAGCAGAAGTAGATAAATGCAAGAGGCGTCGACGGCCCCATGTCTGCATGGGTAAGATTTATATATAGGACGTTGTAAGAAAAAGAATGTGATACAAAAGCTGCATCAATGGCTTAGATCATGGCTATCTTAGTATTTCTTGCCTTTGATAGTCAGTAGATCAATGTCTTTTTTTTTTCTACGACGCGGCGAATGACTCCCGCTTCCGCGTTGCGCTAGTCCGCGCTGTCACATGTATGACTTTAATTGGATGGATAGTTATGTAAGCCGATCTGCTTACCCTATACATATATTCAGCACATTGGGACTAGGAGAGAATAGACAACTTGTATTGAGTTACTGGTCTGTACATACAGGCAATTACGCCCTGTGATAATACTGAGTATCTCTAACAGCTATTATCTTGTTCTGCGGTCTTGCGTCGCTATGGTGGCTCCATGCGAAGTGAAGACAATAGTTCATCAATGCCAATGGGAGTCATACCGAAGCATGGATGTTTATCCTTTGAGCATCACTGAGTCACTCACTACTCTAGTGATAGAGAATTAACTATCCCTGATATTAAGTTCTGATATCAGCATTATCTACATCCAAAGTCCCAAAATCCAACAGAGGCTCGTCCATTTAAATGGCACCAATAATATTTAAACAAGAAAGACCCTGATTTGGAGAACGTGGGGTAATCCTCAGTGGCGGTACGAATATTATTGTCATTAGTAAAATAATTTTTGATTAATAAATACGTATATTAGAAACGATGTTGGATCTTTATTTATAATGCACAACTGCTCTGAAACCATTCACTTTGTTTATAGCCGGTAACAACTACCGAGCTTTGGTATACATCTTGGCCAATAATCACCTCGGCTAACATAATCTCAAAATGACTCGGTTGATATACAATTCGTCGCTGCTACATGACTCTTCTCTATCAATGAGGTCACGTAAAAGTTCACTGTGGGGAAGTCAAATCCACCCTCCATGCTTTATCACTCATTACAAACAGTCTTAGCAAGCCCGATCAACCTTAGTAAACCCGGGGAGCCCCCTCGACAACCTGATGGAACCCCATAGTTTTAAATAACCTCCATCCATCCCCATGAACCGCCTTCTCAAACCACTCATATCTAAAAGACTCTTTACCACTTCTCGCTTCACAATGGGAGACGCTATCAAACGCAACCCTCACCCTGACTTCAAGGGCGTCGAGGCTTCTCGTCCTGAACTTGACACCTCTTCTGAGTTTCGTTACACCAAGACCGTCGATGCGGACTGGGCTTTTGGCTCTGGCGCAAACAGACTTGCAAAGGATGATGCTGGCAAGAAGCATGTCGCTATAGATCCTCATGAGGAGGGCCGTCCTGCGGGCTTCAACTATAAGCTTATGATCTCATCCGTCGTGCCCCGTCCCATCGCCTTTGTGAGCAGTCAGGCTCCTGATGGAACGCACAAGAACCTGGCACCTTTCAGCTACTTCAACATGATGCACCACGACCCGCCCATGTTTGTCGTCGGTTTCTCATCCAGTCTTGCTGCTGCCAAGGACTCGCTGCGCAACGTCTCTGACTCGGGCGAGTGCGTCATCAACATCATCTCCGAGCACTTTATCGAAGCTGCAAACGCATGCAGTGTTGATGCCCCTTCCGAC